CCCTGCTTACTCTTTCTTCTTAATAGTGTAGGAAGGCTAATCCCTGAATTTTTTTCCAGGTTCTAAACTCACCTATTGGGCTACGACCTGTAACCTGGGGTCTGTACCTATCTCTGAGAGGGAGTTTTCAGTATAGGAAATGGAGGTGGAAATAGGGGCAGAAAAAGAAGGGACAAAATCTGCTGGTCTCTATGTCCAGAACTACTGTGGGCGGGGCCTGTGGCCATTACAGGACCCGTAAAATACTTTCCTGGTCCATCCCACGCATTCCATCACGTAGAGGTGGTCAAGATGGGTCACTAGCCCATCAAAAGAATTGGATAAAGACCCCTCTTTCACCCTACTTCATGCCACTCAGCTCCTGTGTGATGGTTTTCACTGGCCATATGCTTGGTCACACCCCCTCACCCCAGTGTCCCAACCTCAGTTAGATCATGTGTTAGATCCTGTCTGTTCAGAGGTATCAAAGATAGCCGAGGATCCTGGTTTGGAAATACCTGTCTCCTTCTTATACATTTTATTTTATTTTTAAAGCTCTTTTCTTTTTTAGATAGTTTTCATTGTGGCTTTTCCCTGATCTTCTTGTATTATGTTAGCTCTCATGAATAAATGACACTCAGAACTAGATCTCCCCTAATGGCTATACCTGTAAGTTACAGTTCTTTAAAAATGCAAAGGCAGAGCTGGGGAATGTAGCTCAGTGGCACAGTGCTTGCCCAGCATGTGTGGGTCCTTGGATTTGATCCCCCACAAAGCAATATAGAAATAAATAAATGGCATGTGAAAATGTTGCTGGCTCATGTGGGTCCTTGCTTTAATGATGATGGAAATAAAAACTACAGTGACAGGCAAAAGTGTGAAATAGGAAGTGAGAGAAGATAAGGGAAGGGCTCCAGCCTGAGCAGTGGCTGGCAGGGGCTGGGTAGTAGTAAGCAGGATCAGACTGGGCCACTCATAATTGAAAGAGAACTAGGCCAGGGATTATCAATTTGCTGGAGTGGGACGGAGGTTGATGATCATGATCTCAGTTCTCTTTTACAAGATGGCTCCCAGAGTTCTTTTGCTGGAGGGGGCAGTCGAGTCTCCATGAGATGGCTGTGTTTGCTTGGCCCAGTCTCAATCTCATGAGTCTCTGCTGGAACCCAAGTTGACCTTCAGTTTGGGGTCATGACTAGAGACTTCTGCGAGTCATTGAATGCCCTGGAAATTCTTTATCTTGGTGGACTCAGGCACTAAGGCATATGAAATTATGTAAAATCAGGGATATGCAATCTTGTTTTACCAACTTTTAGACAGGCACTTCCTAAATGATTAATGTACATACACGCAGCGCTAAAAAGGGACTTGACCCAAAGTTTTAAGGTAACAAAGGATATAAAATAAAGGTCAAGCTTGTTCTGCTTTTAGTTTCCTATTGGGCCATGGAAGGCCCAAGTGGAGAGTCATAGTTTTTAGCAAAAAACACTTTTTTTAAAAAAACTACTTTTAAGTCTCTGTCTTAGAAGGAAACACAAATGGTGCTTTTTATGAGTAACAGGTTAAGGGCCCAGGAGTTTGTTTGGCCTTTGTCCCTACGGTGGACTCTGACTATATCATGCCTTTGTCAGTCGGAGCATGAGAAGGGAATGGCCCAAATAGCTACCCACTTGATGGGCAAGCAGCTGGATTGTTACCCAGGGAAGTGTGCTGTGTGCTGAATATGTTCTGGGCTGAGGTAGAAATTATGAAGAGAAGAAAAAAGGAGATAGCGTGGAGCCTTCGTGTGCTGAAGGAGGAAGAATCTCCTCTGGAGAAACAGCCCTAGCTACTTCCTTCCTTCCTTCGATTTTGCTGTCCTGTTCAATATGGTAGCTCCTAGTCATGGGAAGCTATTTAAAGCTAAATTGATTCAATTCAATAAAATTGAAAATTCAAGGTAGACATGTTGCTGCAAACCTGTAATCCCAGCACCAGGGAGGCTGAGGCAGGAGTATCACAAATTCCGGCCCAGCCTGGGTAATTTAGCTATTTAGCAGGACTCTGTCTCAAAATAAAAATAGAGTAGGGGTGGTGATATAACTTGGTACAAAGGCCCTGGTTTCAATCCCAGTCCAATAAATAAATAAAATCAGTTTTCAGTCACAGGAGCTGTATTTCAGGATTCAGTGGCCATATGTGGCTAGTGGCTACTGTAGTGGACAGCATATTTCCATCATCGTGGGAAGTGCTTTTGGACGGCACTGGACTAAAAATATCAGGCTATCAGGAGGGGATGCATATGCTCTGGTCCTTCCAGAATCATATCTGTGTAAGGGGCCTTGGGCACAGGGTTAACTATTGTATCCTGTTCCTGCCATCCTCCTTCTTTTTATTTATTTATTTTTTTAAGGCAGGGTAACATTATGGAGTTGAGGCTACCCTTGAACTCACTGTGTAGCCCAGGCTGGCCTCAAGCTCACAACAATCCTTCCTGCCTCAGCCTCCCTAATCCTGAGATTACAGGTGTGCACCACCACGCCCAGTTTCCCTCTTCTTCCACCGGGTGCCGGTAGCCAGACTCTGGACACAGGACAGCAGACTCAGTTCTGTGGGCTCTCCATCCCTTCTTTGCCCTCTGGTTTGTTCTCTCCACCCTCCCAGTCCCTGGAAAACAAGCTGCAGAGAAAACTTTTCCATTAACTTTGACCTAGTTTTCTGATCATAAAATTAAAGGGGAGGAGCCATGAAATTCTTGAAGAGGTGAGAAAGGGGAGAAATCCAGGTGAAAGTCACCGCAGCAACAGGGAGAGTTAGAGACTGACAAACTGGTGAGGAGAACCAGGGACAAAGAGGGCCAGGAGGAAAAAAAAACAAATGGGCTACGGAGAACGTAAGGTAAATAAGCAAATAAAACATGAAGATGGAATGGAAAAGATCTTTTTTTCAGTTCTACTTTCTGTTCAATTCATATTGATTTTTTTTTTTTCAGTACTAGGGATTATTGAACCCAGATCCTTCACACTGAGCTATATCATCAGTAATTTTTTTTTTTTTTCTTTTTTTTGTGAAACAGAGTCTCACTAAATCACTAGGTAGCCCAAGCTGGGCTGGAACTTGGGATCCTCTTGCCTCAGCTACCCAGAGTGCTAGGATTACAGGCATGTACCACTATGTCCGGTGCACATTATTCTTATAAAGGATTTTTGGGAGCCAAATAGGGTTAGATCTATTTGAAAAATTTTGAACGAGAAACCAGAAACTACTATACATTGACCTCTGTCATTTCATTTAGTAATACAAATCATCTCAATTAGTGATGAAACTGTGGTATCAATCTATTTTTTTTTTTGAGACACTGTCTTGTTATGTAATTCAGGCTGGCCTTGGACTCACTATGTAGCCCAAATTAGCCTCAAATTTGTAGCAGTCCTCCTGCCTCAGCCTTCCTAGTACGGGCATGCATCACCATGCCTGGCTGAATCTATTATTAATACCTTGAAGCTGGTTGTGATGGGACACACCTGCAATCCCAGTATTCTGAGGCAAGAAAATCATAAGTTTGAGCCCAGCCTGGACAAATTAGCAAGACCCTGTCTCAAAAATTAATGCCAGGGATAGTATTAATTATACTATCTGAGTAATTAATACTCAGGAGGCTGAAGTAATTATACTCCTGAGTAATTAATACTCAGGAGGCTGAAGCAAAAGGATTGCCGTGAGTTTGAGGCCAGCCTGAACTACATAGTGAGGCCCTGTCTCAAAAACTAAATAAATAAATAGCCAGTCTAAACTAGTGAGACCCTGTTTCAAAAATACATAAATATTAAAAGTTTTTAAAAGGCTGGGGATGTAGCTGAGTGCAAAGATCCTGGGTTCAATTCCTAGTATAAACACCAAAGAAATGACAAAAACCCTTAAGAAATAAACAGGAACTGCCTAAGCATATCCTACAGGATGAGGGTGGGTTAAATATTCAGCATTTACTGAGTTATGATTACGTACTTGGACAAAATACACGCTGGAACTGCAGAGATAAAGCTGGTAGCTGCCAGCTGGGTGTGGCTGAGGAACGTGGATTTGCTGGAGTTTGAGAGCAGCTCGAGCTACTTAGTGCGTTGAAGGCCAGCCTGGACTACAGAGACCATCTCAAAACCAAACCAAACCAAACCAAGGCCAGCCTTGAACTACATAGTGAAGCCAAACACACAAAAGGAAGAAAGAGAGAGAGGAGGGAGAGAGGGAGAGAGGGAGGAAGGAGAGAAAGAAAGAAAAAGGAAAGGAGGAAGGGCAAGTAGCTACCTCCAAAGAATATGATACTCATGACTAGAAGTCTCTCAAGTCCTAAACAGTTATTCTTGTCAGCACACAAAACAGGTTTATACTGGGACGAATGTTTATGGTGAAAAACAAGCCATAAAAAACGAACCTCTGGAGTTGAGGGTGTAGCTCAGTGGTACAGCCTCTAGGACTCTCGTTGGAGGCTCCTGGGTTCAGACTCCAACACCGCAAAACTTTAACAAATATATAATACGCATAACACATGCCATAACCCCAGTACTCTGGGTGAGGCATGACGGTCTCAAATTTGAGGCCAGCCTGGCCAATTTAAGTGACTTAGCCAGAAGCTGCCTAAAGGTTAAAAAAGGGGCTGGAGATATAGCTCAGTGTCAAGACCTTGGGTTCAACCAGTACTGAAAAGGAAGGAAGAGAACCTCAACACTTCCCCTCCAAACCCCCTCCCAAATGTGGTTTCTCTGTATTCAAGAACTCATCAACTCCAAAAATGAAGGAATGTAGTAATGATTAGCTATGAATGTGGAAAACTAGCTTAGACCAACAGAAGAACCTTCTACAGTTCCTCAGTGAATCAGAAAGGGGAGCAAACCAGCTTGAGTCCCTTTGCTCCCCATCTCCCAGCCCACCTGGGTGCGGGAGTGCTGACACAGTGTTCTTCAGCAACAGCAACCGGGAAGGTGGGGAAGCTCCTTCAAGAAGAATGCCTTCTCATAACTTTGCCAATGCTATCCCAAAGACAACAGACATTTTTTGCCATTAAAAAAATTTTTTTTATTTTTGAATTTTTTACAAAGAATACCCCCACATGGGGTGAAAATACATCTGGTTAAGTATAAAATATAGTTTGTATCATACAAAAAGTTACACAAAATACAAAAACAATGATACCACCACCTTCAACCCACATACTTTCTGGCGGTAAAAATTCTCAGCAAAGGGTGGAGCTCAGTGCTCTGACACAGGACAGCGAACAAAGTGCTTTGGCTAAGGGGGGCTGATCAAGTGCCAGTGGCTACGGTGAGAAGAGGGGCAGCCCCCTCTCCTAACACTGGGCAGAAAGGGGTCCAAGGAGCCCTTAAAGGTTCTCATGGCAGTGTCTGGAGGCTCTGATCAGTGTTGGGGCATCTGTCCCAGAGTCCCTCCTTGGGTTTAGAGAAGTCACAGTGCGAAAGGCTGAGAGCAGCAACCCTTATGTGATTGGTGTCGGAATTATACAATTCTGTACACTGGGACAAAGTTGCCAAAGTAATGCTAACACATTTGTGTGTGTCATTATGCCTACCCCCAGAGACTAGTAGCTTTCATGTGAGATGGGGAAGAAAAAACACAGGAACAAATAATAGGAACTAAAGTGCTGAGAGCATCACCTTGGACTCAATTCCAAGGAATCACATGGAAAGAAAAATATCCTCCCATGTAAGGAAGTTTGCAACAGGAGAAAACAGTGCAATAAGGCTCTAAAAATGGCTTTTAAGACCTTTGGTGGGGCATACTTGCTACTGCTTTACGCCAGGTTAAACTGTATTCTAAGCAAAGTCATGTGAGAGCAACTTCCCACAGGAGAAGCACTCTCTAGAGCGGAAACCAAATTAGCCCTAGAGCATTTTTTCTTTTCCGTTTTTTTTTTTTTTTTTTTTTCCTGTAAGTGTACAAAACAAAGGGAAACACTGATTTTAAAAACCTCTTTTGCCTAGTCCACTCTGTTCCATATGGCACAAGAGTGTGAAATCTGATGTTATTCCAAGATCTGTAATTCCCTTCAAAAAAACAATGGGAGGTTTCATTTCTTTCAGTGGTCATTTCTAACCCCGAGTAGTGAAAATGCCTCAATTTTCAAGGAGATCTGAGAAAATGGAATGGGCCTGAATGTTTTTAGTGTGTTTTTAAACCCATCCAGCAAACACTCCTATATCCCAACATTGGTACGGACTGACAAGTCCACGCCACCTGAGGCCTGAAAACTGCCTGCTGATCACCGCCTGCATTAGGGAGTCTGAGGCTGGGAGGGACCCGTACCCCGGTGCAGAGACTACAAAGTCTCTGGAAAAGTGAGCATCCAGAAGAGAGGCGGAAAGAAACAAGTAGGTACAGCTGCTTCTTTTCTTCCACGGGCTCACTGCACATTGTTATTGAGGATGCAAGGGTCCACCTGAAAGTAACAAAACAGAGACTTTCACCTTGGGAAAGAACAAGAACAGCCTCCTTTAGCACTCCTCCAAGACAGCCACTCACAGAAGGCTTGGGTCAAACATGAATGACAATGCTCACCTCAGTGTATGTGGGTGGTGGCATGAACTTGAACTCAGGAGCATACATAAAGATAGGGCTATCTTGAGACCCGTCGGCATCATCTAGCAGCGGAGTGGTCGGGCTCTCCAATCGGTGATCTTCAGGAATTATATCCATGTAACAAGGGGGAGCTACAGTGAAAAAATATGGGGATAAGAAGCCTAGCCAAGAAATGCCAAACCATCACAATTTTACAAGCCTAAAAAAGGCCAGAGAGGAAAAAAAGACAGTATGTGTGGCTCACCTTCTGGGGTATCAGGGATGTTTAGGTCTATCCAGCTCATTTCAGAGCTAGCTCGGCTGGCCATGCTGGATGTCCGGCTGCTTAGACCCGACCTACTGCCAATCACCAGGGGCAGGTCAAGGATGACTTTCTTGGAGCCAGGGACACTAACGTAGATCTATCAAGGAAGATGGGAGTTTGTTAGATGAGAGGCCTGGGGGAAACACCACTCTCAAAATAAACTCTCCTACAGCCACCCCTACCCACTCACCAGCAAGGAATATTCAACTCGAAGGATGTTGCAGCCCAGAATAGATGGCCTGATCTTCTGCACCCGAAGGCTCTTGCCTCGCCATGACGCACACGTCCCTGAGATAATATGATTGCCTCTCACTGACGACAACTTCTGAGTGAGCACCTTGGTCTGGCCATTGGCAAGGTAAGTGTGGCGGGCCACAATGGCTGCTTTGGGGACGACAATGCGGGAACATGTATTCTCAAAGTCAGCGTGGATGGAAATGTCATCACCTAGCAATGACAGAGAGTGTACATACTGAAAAACAGTACAACTAATGACATCCCTTCTGCTCCTACCCCATGTCTTTAACCCCATCCCCGAACCCACATTTCCTGTTATATCTGTCTACCACTTTCAGCAGGTTTTTACCTTCACAGAATCCTTTTCTGTCAATTCGAGCAGAGACAGACACACGCCCGTCGGGAATGAACATGCAAGAAACTTTCTTCTCCTTTTTAGCGGACACTGGTGCCTGTGCCGAAGGGAGGAAAAGGTGTTTTGAGATAATTCAGTCTAAAGCCCAAGACACTTTATCACCCTATGATCGAGTAGAATAGAATCTTGAAATGCATCTCACCATTAAATCGGGGGTATTGATATCCACCAGATCCATCACTTCAAAGTGTTTCTTTGTCTCCTGAGTTGGCTGGCTGGGGCGATCAAGAAAAGCCTTCACCCAGTAGTCTACACAACCATATTTCCCTTTGAAGGATGTTCCCAGAGGCCTGTGTCCAAAAAAAAAAAAGGTGGGGAGAGGCACACTTAAAACGCTTTCCAAGAACAGTAAGTGATCACAGAAGTAGGAAGATTTTTTTAGAAACAAAAGAATCCAAAGATGCATTTAGCTGATAACCTACCCTTCAGGAAGCTCAAAGCTGAACTTGTACTCGTATTTGTTTCCAGGTCTCATGATCACCATCTCGTTCTCACCTGAAAGGAGAGAAAAACATGTAACGTTAGGTTTCTTGTTACACTTGAAACACGTCTGTGTGACGCGGATGCCAGCACTGTCTACGAAAGGGATCTAATAATACTCCCATTCCCATCCCTTATGTTCTTAAATCAAAGATTCTGATGCAATTTCACTTTGCAAGTTTGAAAGGCTGGCCCAAGAAAGCAAACAACGAGCAATTTGTGTATACAGAAATTTTAAACAGCTGAATAATCAGAGTGGATGGTAGGGATATATTTGTAAATTAAAACTGAGAATTAGGAAGCAACACATAACTCAAACCTCTCAAACTGAGCGATTTAAAACATTTAGTACAGGTTCAACGCACTCCTTTCAGATGAATTAGCTTTCACCCTCCAATAGAGACTGCCCAGGGGCTGTGCTCACCTGTGGGGTGGTCCTCCAGGGTGAGCGTGTCCTCGTAGCGCAGGTAGTCCAGACTCTGCTTGCACTGCTGTGATCCCTGCATCCACACGACCTTGGCCACTCCGCAAGCCAAGATCCTCAGGGCTTTGACTCGAGTGACTTCACACACCTCCACGACCACCCGGCCGGCCACCTTCTCCCCGCTGCCGTACACCTTCTCGGGGTCGTTAAAGACCACCTCGAAAGACTTGATCTTCTTGAACATCACCATGATTGGGCTGAGTTCTCAAGGCGCGAGAACAAAACAAAACCCTAAATCCAAGAAGGAGCCTTTAGCAAAAGTTAAAATTTCACCCTTAAAGAATGAAAGTGTCCTTAAGCAGGTGGGGCTTCAAAAACAAAATTAAAAAGATGTTCCCACAAAGGAATTACTTCCAAAAAGATATTTGGAAATGTTTTAAACTGCTGGCTACACCAAGAGCTTTTTAAAAAAAAGAAGAAAAAACCCTCCCCTTCTTTTCCCCAGGTGCCGAAGGAGCGCTCTGGACAGCAGCAGTACCGCCGCTCACAACTCTACCCAAAGCGGAAAGCAGACTTAACGCGCTGAAGCCGGAAACTGCCTCTATATAGTAGCCGGAGCCGGGTGAGCCACGAGAGAACTATTCCGGAGGCTCGTGCTGCCCTCGTGCACAGCTCTCCCATTGGCTGCCCGATCCGTGTTTACTAGGAGCCTGACCAATCAGCGCGGTCTCAGGGGCGCGTGGACACAGAGTGCTCGGGAGGGAGGGTGGTTGTTGTGCTTGGGTGCGCCACTAGCGGGGAGGAGGGAACGGGGTGGAGGAGGCTGTGGATCGGCTTCCCCGCGGGGATCGGAACCGGGTTCGAAGTCTGAAACCTGTCCAGGGCGAGAGCCCTTGGGGACCGAGTGTGCATGTGTGTGTGGGAGCGGCTTATTTTTTTTTTTTTTTAAAGATAGAAAATGTGCTTATGAGGGACTTTCATGCCCAGCCTTAGCCGGGGCAGTTTAGCCGCTGCTGTTTATTCCTGGCTCACAAGTCGCGAGTCTGTGAAAAACAACCCCATAGCGCCAAAAATACTTTGGGATTGGGGCGGAGGGCAAAAAGTGCTGATATTATTCACAAATGCTGTTTGTCCTTCTCTCGGCCCCAGTCTCTATTAAAATCCTCCACAAAACTGCTGTCCCTGAAGGAAGTGGGAGCTCGCCACGCGCTTGCGACCCCTCCGACCTGGGCGGGCACGGGCCGAGGCTGCGTGCACCCTTCCTACCCAGCTCCTCACCCCGGCTCTGAGCTGCGGGAGCGGAAATAGTGCCGGAGTGCCCGCATCCTGTTGCTTATCCCCCATCAATATCTGCCTGCTAAATTGGGGAACACTTTATGTTCCTCAGATCCCCTCGTTACGTCTTCAGAGAGATGTGCCCTTCAAATTCTGATGCTCTACCTCTCTTCTCCAGGAAAAAAAATGCTTTGTCCTTTAAATTTTCTCCATAAGATATTTTCAGGCTTTCTTGTTTTCATCTCTCTAAACTGACGAAATCAAGTGCAGATACATAAACCTTTTTTCCCCGTTAATTTTGAGACAGGGTCTCTATATAGTTCAGGCTGGCCTTAAACTCTATGTAGCACAAGCTGGCCTATCCTGCTGCCTCAGCCTGCCGAGTGCTGGGACTACAGGCGTGTGCGCCAACATGCTGGTTTTCCATAAATCTGTTGTTCCATGTTCAGTCTTTGAGTTGATTTAAAGCAAAATAGTGCCCCTGTTTACAACCAAAGTGGAACACTTTCCTTATTTTTCACCCTAGGTAGTTTAGAAAGCAGTAAGAAAGGAAAAGGAGAGAAATAATGTACCATCCTGGCACTATCCAAAGCAAGGTAGAGGGGCGGGCTCTGACTCTATTCTGTGTAGGTTTCCTTCACCTACCTGGCCAACCGGGTTTCCCCAGCTGACTGCGAGACGCCTTTGGAGTCGGTTCCTGAGATATTATTCCTAAATGTAATAAGGAAACTTCATATAAAGAGGAGGAATTCTAACCTCTTTTCTTGGATTCCTAGACCTGTCCCATATTTGTGCTGGGCGGTCAGGAGATTATTATCTCATTCCTTGTGCTGGAAAGAGGAAGGTAATGTTCCCAAGCTTGAGATGGGGGAAGTAAATAAGAAGGCTTTGAGTATACAAAACCCCTACCTTCTCAGCAAAAGGAAGGCCATTCAGTGCAGTTAAACCTCCTTTTTCCTTCCTCACAAACCCTAACTGGATTGACACCCTGAGGCTCACAAGTTCCAAGTCAACCCTGATACTAGGCAAGTTCAGAATCAGGCATCATGATTACTGGAAAACACATACAGGAACATGTTGATCCGTAGGGTGTGTGGCTTGAGGTAGCACCCTGTTCTAGAAAATTAACCAACTAGGTTCTAGGTGTTTTCAGTTAGTGAACAGGACTGACTGGGTAGGGAGGGTGAGACTCTCACTGAAGTTATTTTATTTTATTTTATTTTATTTTTTGAAACAGGGTCTTGCTATGAGTTCATGTGCCACCATACTTGGCTTCTCACTGATTTTAAAAGCTCAGAATTAGGACTTATGGCTAATGTGGTGGCATGCACCTCTAATCCCAGCATTCCAGAGGCTGAGGCAAGAGGATTGCCTCAAATTCAAGGCCAGCCTGGGCTACATAGTGAGTTCAAGAGCAGCCTGAACTACATAGTAAGACCCTGTCCAAAAAATAAATAAATATATATATATATATATATATATATATGACTTCTAGAAACTTTTAATTTGATGGGTATGAAAGTGTATGTAAATATAAAACACCAACATGCTTACCAAAACACGCAAATCAGTATTGTTACCGCAAGTGGTATGAGGTGTAACTGTATACATTTTGAAGTGACAAGAGGAAAGTGGTGATCAGGGTGGTGTTGATTCGAGATGTTTTAGAGAGTGCCGATATTTATTCATTTGGGGACATCTATGAAGTACTGAGATTTCAATTTCTAAAAATCCTGTGGCAGTTCTCCCTTGTTCTGTTTCTGTCTTCACTTCCAGTTTTTCCTTATCATCTCATTTCGCAGAGGTCAGTACAGACTACTTGTTTGCTCTGTGTATGCCTGAGTTCTCTTCAATGCCAAAATGCTGTTTGACTTTGGCAAGAGCAGCTGCCTAGCAGGCCTGTGGCCAAGGCATGTTCTGAAAAGGAGACCTCCCGGACAGAGTTCTTTATAACCTTTCACCTTATAAGTCCTGAATCTGATAAATATCTGCCCCCGATTCTCCTTTTTCAGTTCTTCAGTCAAAGGAAGAAAGAAAAAATTTGTAAACTCTTGTCATGAAAACAGGGTAGAAGCACTTGTGTGTGGGAAGATGGCGGGGTGCAGGACAAACAGTAAAGCAGAGCTCCGTCCAGGAGTCTGGAAAGTTAGGCGATCGCTTACCTGCGCCTTCCCCACCCTGTTGGGTCTCAGTGGCAGTAGGAAACCAAGTGGCATGCTTGTTTGTTTGCTTTGCTGTAGCTGACAGGACAGCCAAGGGTTGCAGGGAGGGAAGTGCCTCTGGCACTGTTGCCAGACAAAGTGATGGCATTTCTCACTTTTCTATCTTCTAGCCTGACAAATAGTTAGGACTCTAAAGATGCATGAAAAAAAAAATCACTTTTTTTGTCCTTTTAATCACTTCTGCCACCTTTATTCCCATAAGCTTTTTAAAAAACCCTTACCCAAACAGAGGCAAATAAGTGTTGACTTAGAGTGTGGGATCCAACACTGCCTAACTGGGTACATGGTTCTAGGTCAAGGATAACTTAGAACACGTTAATAACTGTCTATCATCTCGGAGTTCAAAGTGACTTTTTCAGTAATCGTCAGTTTTGAGCACTAAAAAATAACCAAATTCTGCTGGGCATGATGACTGAGGCCTGTAACCCAAGGTACTCAGGAGACTGAGACAGGCAGGTTGCAAATTCCAGGACAGGTAGGGTAATGTAGAAAGACCCTCTCTAAAAATACAAAGCGATGGCCTGCTGTGGTGGTGCACACCTGTAAGCCCAGCACTCGGGAGGCTGAAGCAAGAGGATCAATGCAAGTTCAAGGCCAGCCTGGGCAAAGTGAGCTCAAGTGAGCAAAAGTCCAGCAAAGTGAGCTCAAGTCCAGCCTGAACTGCATAGGGAGACCCTGTCTCAAAAAGACCAAAACAAACAAACAAACAAACAAACAAAATGAAAAGGGCTGGGGTGTAGCTTAGTGGTTGTAGTGGATTGATAACTGGTGGTCAATTTATAACTTCCAGCTGAACTGAGTAAGCATGGTGTTGGGTGTGGGAGGCCCACCTGAGAATTGTTACCAGCAGTCTAAGAGGCAGAACTGGAGGAGAAGTTGGGCTGCTGGGGGCAGAGAAAGGCTTTTGAGTACTAAGGCTATTGGGAGCTGAGAGAAGGCTGCTGGGGGCTCGGTGAAGCTGTAAGGAGCTGTTGGTTGTTTTGGAGGAGCTTGTCATGCTGGCTTTCCTGATGAACTTGGCTGTTTTTATCCTCAGAGGGGCTTGGGACCTTGTTGGTACTGAGAATAGCTTCGGTTCACTTTGGGGGAGCTCTGGTCCTCACCTTGAGCATTGCATCCTGGCTCTGGAAGGGAAGATGGTGCACTGCCAGTCTCCTAGAGGAGCTCATTGTGTTGGCTTTCTTGATGGGAACTCAGCCATGTTGATCATCAGAGGAGCTCTGGACTTCACTGTTGCTGAGGATAGCTGTGGTACCTTTCGGGGGAGCTCGGTTCTTCTGAGTATTGCTTTCTGGCTCCAGTGCAGATCCCTCAGCCTGCTAGCACAGATCCTTCATCCTGCTGGCACAGACCTAGATTCCACCACTGACCTTTGGGCCTTACCAGCGCAGATCCGTGAAACAGGCCTGCATGAGATGTTGTTATGGGCTCTGGGCCTCCAGGTGAAGCTCGTAGGAGGCATTGTTATGAGCTGTAGGTTTTCAGCTGGACTCATGTAGGACATTTCTGTGGGATCCAGGCCCTCGGCTAGTTTCCTTAATCTTAGTGTGTGGACAGTATCCTGCACTCTCTTGTATGTGATTTTTTGGGTGACTATTAGAAACAATCTTGTAAAATATGTGTCCTGTATTATATTGTTATAATAAACCCCAAACCAACACAGTGGTAGAGCATCCCTGAGTTTGAACCCTAGTTTGAGAAAGGGGACTAATAGGTTAAAGGGAGACATTAAAAGAATTAGATGTGCATGTATCAACTCCCCAAAATGAATGTAATCATCACTGCAAACTTGTACCAATAAAAGTTCAAAAAGTAAAGTCACCTGTCATCAAGCTTAGGTTATTTCATTTAAGTCTCACAATAACCCCATCGTTCAGGATTAATAAAACCAGGCTCAGAAAAGTGAAGTAATTCAGCTGGGCGTGGCAGTGGACACCTATAATTCCTGAATTCTGGGAGGCTGATGCAGGAAGACTGCAAGTTTGAACCCAGGCTGGGCACCTTAGCAACTTAGTGAGACCAAAATAATAAAGGGGCTGAGGTGAGTTCAGTCCCAAGCACTACCAAAAGAGAGAGACAGAGAGAGAGACA